TACCACATTTGGCCTGGGCATTCTATACAATTACCTTAATCTAGCAGACAATATGAAACATGCAATATTTTATGTTTTATGTAAAGACAACTAGAAAAACAAAATTATTTTATAAATTATTCATAAAAATTAAGAAAAAAAAAAGTTTTTATATTTTATTAATATTTATTAGAACATGGATTACTACCATGACATTTTGATGTACAAAGGCGTCCTCCAGCATTGCATTTGCATTTTTGTAAACATGAACATTGGTCATATCCCTGACCACCCAACTACCCAAGTTTGATAATTTCCTTGCCACTTCCCTTAAAGTAGTACCTAATATTTAATTGCGGTATTCAACTTTAATGAAAGACTTCTTACATATCATAAATTGGTTACGGCTATATAAGTTGGGAAGCCGGCCTTCTGATGTTCCAATTTCATACATATTATTATTGACTATCTAAATAAATCCATAACAAATTATTTTTTAAAACAACCATAATTAAATAATAATAGTTTGTAGAGATACCTGATAATATAACTCCAATAATATTATAAAAATCACTACCTACGTGTTTTTTTCGACATCTTCAGCATGTTTTTGTATTAATGGTCAAAGTAAAATTTATTTTGTCAAATGATCTTGATACTCTAAAATTAATTTATATTCACCGTCTAGTTGTGTCTGTATATCAATCAAATCAATCTGGCAACGAGAATTCATTTCGGACGATTTAATAGGTTTTACTACTAACCTTTTTTTTGACACAATCGACAATTATTTAGTACATCATAATCGATTCTCTAGTTACATTTATGAATTTTATTTTAATTTCATACTCCATTCTATTCCTATCACTATATCCAATTGATAAATGCATCTCGTTTATAATGTTGAACAAGTATTCATTATGTAGTATGTACATAATATTTAATTGTATTACCTTTAGTTACAGGAAAAATTAATTTTTCTACTTCAGATATTTGAATCACATCATATTTTTTTAAGAGCATAATCATTTGGTTTAAATTTTTCAGTTTGATTTTTTAATTGCTTTAGATGTGCAATTAATTCATACTTTGATTTACTTAAGTATGTATTTTTGAATCTTTTTTCATTAATAATTCATTAACATTTTCCTTATTTAACAAATTAAATTAAACGGCAAAACAAATTAAACTAAACCACTGATCGTATTTGTAAACACACTATACTCTGTTTATAAATTGGCCATTCTATTAAAATTTCCAAACAATATAGAAAATTCTTGTACAATTTTCAAATTGCCCAAAAATGAGGGTCATTCTATACAATGCTTGGGCAATGCATATAATGCCCCAATTATCAACATTGCCCGTAACACACACATATATATATATTATATATATATATGTATAACCTATTTGTATGATTTATAATCTTATACACATAATTATGAATGAAGTAGGTATTTATTTAATTTTCCTAGACTACATTTCCTAATTATTGTGATATTGGTAGGCCGTAGGCATAAACTAAAAGCTATTGCCAATGATATTAAACGGCCTTAGTTTAAAATGTTTATGTTATTATTTAGGAAATAAAAACAAATAAATATTTTATCAGACATTAATGATTAATAGTACCTATTGATTAAACTTATAGCACTCATGTTTAATCAATGTTATCAGGTTGAAATTGTTTATTTTAATTACCAATTAAAAATTTCAGATCAGGGACAGGAACCTTTTGAATTTATCGGTATTGGTTACGGTACTGGTGCTCCAAAAATAAAACAACTGTTCCAGTTTAGTTCTGGGTTTTTGATAAAAAAAAAATTAAAGATATCAGTTCCAAATAATTTTGGTACCGGTTCCAGATAATTTTGGTACCTACAGAAAAGTATAACAATTTTAAATACTTATCCGGAATGTGGGTTTAATTAATAGTATGAGAAATATTAGAAAACTATCATTTGATCATACATAGTTTATACACTAAACAGTAATACCATTAAATTATGAGAAATAAAATAATTTTATTTTTGAACCTAAAAGAACCTATTTAATTTAAAAATTCCGGTTCGGTTCCAGTACTTTATTTATTAAAATAAAGGTTTTGGTTCCGGTTCTTAATATTTTAAAAGTTCCGGTTCTTTTAGGTTTGGTACCAGTCCCTGTTTCAGATGTCTACTTTTCTCAACTATATATTTTTTTAGTACTTAAAAGAATAGACAATTCGTCAAATTAATTGTATATAGAGTATTAGCTTTATTAGTATAAACTATTTGATATATTGTTATGATTAATTAATGTTTTTGTTATTACTTATTACTAATAAGTTATTAGGGTACCTCTATGTTTTCTTTTATATATACTTAATGGACATGGCATGGCATTATGTTCTTAGGGTTGCTTATTCTAGGATGGGTGACCATCCTAAAATATATGCAACATAGCATGCCTTAATAATCCTATAATTGAGACTTAAAGATAATATTTTATGTATATTTATGAAATTAATTTAAACATATTCAAAAACAGATTTCGTGAATATTTTTAGAAAAAAAACTATGAAGGAAGTTCCTATATGTTTTTAAAAATTTCCATTTTCATTTTTAGACATATTCCATGTAAATATTAAATTATTTATCTGATTTGTAAACTATTTTTATTTAAGTTCTGGTATATTTATAATTAGGTACCTATTCAATTTAATATGATTGATTATAATTTATAATTATATTGATTTAGTGTACAATATATTAATTAGTATCTAGCTACTTCTCTAATTTAATAAATAATACCAAATATTTCTTACTTAAATAAAGAGTTTGTGTTACATATTATTGTTAATTTTAAGATATTGTGATACAATAGATTCATTGTAAATATTTCAATCGATGATTAATATTTAAACATTTTAGTACATTTTTTCAGTGCATGCAAAACTCAGGTTCTTGAATATTATTCTAAGCTTTTAATATTCTGGTAAAAAATATGGGTTTTGGCAATTCATTTATCATTTCACTAATCCGTAATTAGCTTTTTTTTTCTTCATATTTTAGTGTTTCATGTATTTCAGTCTTATTAGTTTATTTCTCCTTTGTATCAACTTAGACCATTCAATGACATACTTTTTCATACGGTCATGCTATATAATTTTATTAATCACAATTTATTCTTCTTTTTTTCTACTTGAAGACAAAATGTTGTAATGATTTTTATTTATCTTTGCAACATCCAGAAAGCAAAAATATCCTGTGCAGTGTGCACATCCATAAATTAATTTGCTAAAGTATATCATTAATAAAATATTTTTTAGTTCTAGTAAATATCTAGTTTATTGTATACCTGTTATGTTTAATTTCAAAGCACTTGTCCTGTTTATATACAGTAGTCACCATTTAATCCAGACCCAGGCATATTATGGACACAATTCTTAGGACCGATTCAAACATTGTCCTTATAAAATCATTGCTTAATTGAAATTTTGCCATAATTTTCTTAACCAGGACAAACTCATCCCTGCCCAATTTGCGATAAATGGCGATTACTGTATTTTGTTGGATTTTCATGAGAAAGTTTGATTTAAAATATTGTATTTTGTTTTCAAAATATATTATTAATTGTTTTAATAATAGTACTAAGTAATATTTTATATTTTTGTCTTAATTTAAATGATGTACAATGTATACCTATATCTAAAACAAGTCATTATAAACATATTTTATAAAATACGTTAATCATAATTATAAAAGTCTGCAGTAGCGCACACAGGATTCTTTTACCGAGGAGGTTATGAATATAATATTTTCTGAATGTAAAATTTAGTTTAAAAAAATTAACAACGAAAAACAATTCCGAGAGGGGGGGGGGGGGTTGTAAGCCCTCACCCACCTGTGATTACCACTGAAAGTCTGTACATATTTTTTTTCTAGTCTATTCGACCAAAATTAATAGTTTGAAAAAAATACTGTATGAAAGAAAATTGTTTTTTAAATGTTTATTATATTACTTATTACGTTGCGAGTCAGAATGCGCGAATTAATGGTACAAAATGGTTTCATGTGTATAGTATTTTCAAAGCTTGGTAGAGGGTAATATACTGAATAATGAAAAAGCACAAAACTACCATACATTAACTCTTTTATTGTTAAAAAATATTAATCGTTGTTGCATTGTGTACTTGAAAGCTCGTGTTAAACCGCGTGTTTTATAAAGACAAATTTAGAGCATTATATTATATTGTTATACTGATTGTTCAGCGTTGTACACAAATAAAAGCTTTTCCTACCCACTCATAATATGTGTACTGTGTAGTAGATCTTGAGTTCTGAGTATGTGGGTAAGACAGTATTTTTAAAATTTTCATGAAACCTATTATTAACGAACATTTTCCTAATATTTATTTAATGATTTATTTTTATTCGTAGAAAAAATGTAATCTGTAATCTTTATAATTATAATAGTTGACTTACGTCTTACAGCGTTATGGTGAGCGTCTTACGAAACGGGAAATCAGAATAGGGAAAATAGGTATTCGACAGAGCCCGACAGAGGTATTGTAGAAAAAAATCTTCGTCCTTAATTTCGAATGGGTTCTTATTTTCATGACTGGTTAGTGGTTTTATTGTCTCAATGTCTCATGCTCTTAGCGATTATTATCAAACGCCCATGACGTATTATTACTGCCATAGTGCCATATAATGTAGTGTAGAACTACATAATAGTTCAGGAATCAGGTTAACTAAACTGTATGATTGATCATTGATATTTATGATCCTACTTATACACGCACCAAGCATCGTCTTATCTGTTATACTATTCCACTATAAAATATGACAAGTAATTATTTTCAATTTTATCGAATGTAAAAATGATAACTCAGATAAGTCGTTCTGTGTGTTGACTGTTGAATGACATTTAATCATTTCGACTTCAATGTACGCTCGTGACCGTCAGTTAACTTTTCTAAGGCACAGTTTTTCCTTCACAGATCGTAAAATGTATTTAAAACTGTTACTTCGACTATGATTAATTTCTTGAAATGTCTGATCTTTTTTGTAAGATGCCATAAACTTTCGGGTAAGATATTAATTGTAAAAATAGCTTGATACTGTACCCACGAATTATATTATATTTATACATTAGTATGATAACACGAAACACATCTTTAGAGACACATACTGTATAGTAATATCACAGATTATAATATTATAACAGTTTTAATCTGTGTGTGGTATCCCGCAGTGGTCGGCTAAATTGCCTAATACCTATAATAACTATTGTCAATCGAGATTTCGAGAACGGGGACGGCGCCATACAATACAATTGTTTTTGTTGGGACAGTCGCGTGACGATTATTTTTTCAGCGAGGTATTTATCGATGTTTTGGAATAAAACGTATACTTAAGCCCAAAAAATCGTAATGACATCGAAAATTATTTAAAACCGCGAATTGCAAGTTGCAGCGTAGCAATCAATTAATAATATTACAAATCGCTGACTAAAATTGAAAACGATAACGCGAACTTTTTTACTATTGATTTGTTTGCTTTTTACCATTGAAGTTCTAACTTTATATTTATACAAAAAAAATAAAACCCTGTTAAGGGGAGTCGTAGATAAAGTGAAACACTTATAGGTGCCACTGCCGTCCTCGTTTGAAAATGATTACTATTATATAATATTTATGTTTAGAAAATGTAAACTATTTTAGATTTAAGTAACCTATATCAATTGCTATAGTATTAGAACCTTAGAAAAATAAAAATAAAAACATGTTTAGAATAGATTATGAAATTATTGTAATTTGTATGACCCATGTCATGTACCCACAACATGTATTTGTTACTTATTAGATATTCATTTTTTTTTTAACGGTTTTCTTGTTAGGTACTGATTTTATTTTATGACTGTTTTAGATGTTGCTACTGAAAAAGACATCTCAATTGCTGAACAAGATGATCTCCAAGCCAAAGAAAAAGAGAAGAAACTTGGACATAGGCGAGTGGGTGTTGATGGAGAAATCACCTATAAAAAAATTCAAACTGGTCAAATTATGGGTTCCATACAACTGGGAATACAACATGCAGTAGGAGGCCTTGCTTCAAAGCCCGAACGCGATTTGCTTATGCAAGATTTTATGACCGTTGAAACGACTGTGTTTCCAAGTGATGGTACTAATCACACTCCAGCTCACCATTATCCAGAGTTTATTTTTAAGACATACGCTCCAATTGCATTCCGCTATTTCAGAGACTTGTTTGGCATTCAGCCAGATGATTATCTTATATCGTTTTGTAACTCGCCACTTCGTGAACTATCCAATCCGGGTGCTAGTGGATCAATATTTTACCTTACTCGGGATGATGAATTTATCATGAAAACTGTACAACATAAGGAAGGTGAATTTTTACAAAAACTACTTCCTGGATACTATATGAATTTGAATCAGAATCCGAGAACTCTGTTGCCAAAATTTTTCGGTCTTTATTGTTATCAATGCAATTCAAAAAACATTAGATTAGTAGCTATGAACAATTTATTACCTTCTAACATAAAAATGCACCAAAAGTATGATCTGAAAGGCTCGACTTACAAAAGAAAAGCTTCCAAAGACGAAAGACAAAAATCATCGCCTACGTTTAAAGATTTAGACTTTAAAGAACATCATCCTGATGGTATTTTTTTGGAGCCAGACACTCACTCAGCTCTTCTCAAAACTATGCAAAGAGATTGTCGAGTACTAGAAAGTTTTAAAATAATGGACTACAGTCTTTTAGTAGGTGTTCATAATGTCGACCTTGCTCAGAGAGAGAAAGAAGAAAGACGAGTGGCACGGTTACGTAAGGCTGTAGAAACCGATGCAGATACTTTATCAGAAACGTCGACATTAAGTCGAACAGCTGAAGCCAACCGGCAGCGTTTGATGGCTCATTCAACAGCAATGGAAAGTATTCAAGCAGACACTGGAACTTCTTCAGATGAAGATTGTGCTTCGCCTAGAGGTGGCATACCTGCTAGAAGTGGAAGTGGTGATAGCTTATTACTATTTGTCGGAATTATTGACATACTACAAAGTTATCGACTAAAGAAGAAACTGGAGCATACGTTCAAAGCTATCATACACGATGGCGACTCTGTTTCTGTACACAGACCTGATTTCTATGCCACTAGATTTTTGGACTTTATGACCAAGTATGTAAAATTAATATTTATTTATTTATTCATCTGTTGATTAAAATTTATTATTTATTTTAGATCAGTGTTCAAGAAACTTTTGTGTCCCCTAAAACGTTCACCATCCAAGCGTCGAAGCATGTCGCGTACACGAACGCGTGATCAAACAGATGCGGAAGGTACATTTTCCACATGTTCAACGCCACCTCCAGCATTTGAGGATGCTATTCGTCGTGACTTTGTATACGACAAACGTTCCAGCATGACTCGCATACGTCGTCCATCACCAGGATTGCGCATAGATGGCCCTTCTGGCTCGTCGCACGCCGGCGAGAGTAAGTCGTCTACATTGAGTGTGGGATCGGGCAGCACTACATCTGGCATCGGGGGTTCAGCAGGCAGACAATCTGTGGAAGCTACATGGACAGAAGGCACACCTAGCTACACGGAGTCTTCAAGCAGCGCCGACATGGCTTCAGATACCATACAAATGGCAATTCTGGGGGGTGACCTTAAATCATTAGAAATGACACGCTTATAAGTTATAGAATGTTACTTATAGTCTAATCGGAACAGATTTTATTGGATTTAAACCTTATAATCATTTATCTAGATTGAATTAAACCTGAATAGTCAGTACCTATACCAAGATTTAATAATATATTACTAATGTAGGATATCTTTCATTTGGATACACATTTTTTAAAACTAATTAGTAATTATAGTTCATACAACTTTTCTCTCATTGTGAGATGCACTTTGATGATTGCTTATCAGAATTAGAACAGTATTATTGTGTTACTGCTCATTTGGCATATGCCATTAGATAGTATTGTGCAGACAAGCATTTATGTGATTAAAAAAACTTGCCAGTTTCGAACAAAGATCTGCTAAAATTATATGATCCGATTGGACTGTCAAATCTGACAAACTGTTTTAATTTATTTTTTTTTAATTTGTATAGCTGCTGAGCCCCTTTTGTTGGATCTCTTAATAATAAGGCCGAACCCTAAAATATAATTATAAAAGACAATTAAACGCTTGTGAATAGCATGATATTTAGCACCAGCACAAAATTCTCACTTTTCAACATTTTAAAAATATAAAAGAAAAAATTGTTTTTTCATTTTTACTAGTTATTAATATTGATATGATGACTAAAAAAATTCAATATTCTACATACTAATATTGTTTATTATAGATGGTACCATTTTGGTTGAGAACCGCTTCCAGCGGATGAAACACAATGTGATGGCTCGTGTATTTAGGTTATCGCCAACCGAAAAATAACCTAACTTAGGTTTAAATGATAAATAATTATAAACAAATGTTATTTATTACTATTATTACTACTATTATTATAATTATTATTATTATTATTATTATTATAATTATTATTATTATTATTATAACTATTGATTACGCCTACCGCCTACGTAATAACATAAGTATACCTAAAAGAATAAACAATTTTCCATTGTGTTCGTGTCAACCGCCTAAACGGATTTAGTAATACAGTATTCATAATTTTAAACAATTTTAGACTCATGTATGATCTTTTGAGAATTAAATGTTTTCAAAAAAAAATAAAAACGTAAAAAAAATTATCTTTAATTTTTATTTCCAGAATCTGAAAATTGTTTCCTGATGTTTACTAGACACTGTGTGATGAGAACATGTTCAAATCGTTTTTCAGCATCATTGGATGGAAATTCAATGATGATTATGTCATGATGTAATCATTTACTTTTGAGTTGAAATATTTTGCTGTAAGATAATATGGTTAGTTGATTTTATTAATGTTATATGTTATTTCCAGGACAATAAATCCTGATGTTGATCTCATTTTTTTAAATCTGATTTTTATTTATAAATTTGTTATACATCTTTTTTGTTAATTTTGAACTAAACTTGAGAAATTTGTATTTTATTGGATATACATATAATGATTGAGGTCTCAGTTAAAAAAATATTTTCCTTTTGTTATTGCCTTTTTTTTTATTTACATAATACATATTAATACTGTTATTTGTAAACATTACACAGTGTAGCAAAATATTTTTTCCAACATGTTTAAGAAGATTTAAGTAATGTAATAATTAATTAATAGTCTCACATTTTTTGGGATAGAATAAAATTCAAATTTGAGCCACACTCAAATCTAACCCTTGAGGTAAGTACAACATAAAAAGTAAATATAGACAACACTTTTAGAAAAATGTCTTTAATATTTTGTTTCATGAAAATCAATAAACTTGCTATTATAAAAAAGAATATACTCTTAAAAAAAATTAGTTAAAATTATCCATTTATTAAATTAATCACTTTTTTTTATATAATTTTGAAGTAATATTACAAATTTATAATTATTATGAGTGAATGTTCTTTTATACTGCTTAAAGAGTAATAAGTATAATTTTTGTTATAAATTTTTGTTGGTTGTCAAAATTGTGTTGTTACTTATATTAAACTATTTGAATATTTGGAAATTCTAGAATTTGTTTAGTCATTTAAACACAGTATTTTGCACTAGTTGGATTCCATCACTAATTCACCACTATGAGATATAAGTCTTTGATGAGTGTATGGACTTCTTGGTCCTTATTGGAATCAGTTGGTGGTATGAATAAATGCAATACAATTGAAAATCCCAGTGTCTTATTTAAAAAAAAAAAACATTAATTTGATAAAAACTACAAAATATGCAATGCAAAATTGGTATAAAGTTTTGCTGGAGTTTTTGTTGTGCGAAGTACAAGTATTTTCAATAAAAACCTACAGATATGTATATAACAATGGTAATCATGTTTTTAAAATTATATTAACCTAACCTAAAGTTTAGTCTATAGGTTCGAATTATTTTACTTGTATGATTGTACTGTACTCTGTAGATTATTTTATGATTCTAAGTTCCTATGAATAGCATAATATAGGGAATTTTTCACTTCTTCAGTCTGATATTTGGTAACAACTAGCTAATTAGCCTGAAGGTTTTAGTGTTTTACTTCTCAGTTCTTAGTCCTTACTGCGGTTATCTTGACAGGTTTATAAACATCTTGTCGACTGTTTGATCTAATGGTGCTAGTACACACTACACACCTGATATTAACACATACACCGTAGGTAAATAGGTTGTTTCAAAGGAAAATTCAAAATATACTACAATTTAAATAATAATAATGTAATTCACATTTATCACGTGTAGTAGCTACTGCAGTGCCGGTCAAATATTATTCACATACATTTCACGAATTTAAGTATTTGAGTAGGTATTGAATAAATTTCAAAGTACTAATTAGTGTTTAAATGCATTCACTCGTACATACCTAATAATGACCCGGGAATCAACTAATACATAAGGAAGGGCTCGGGAATCAACTCACCTGCTGCGATACATTAATCATTAAACACTTAGGTATTCTAGTATTTTAATAGGTAGGTAAGTACCATAATTAAATAATTTGTTGTATAAATTCCTGTACCTACTCGATTCGCCCTGGTGTAAAAGATAAACAAAAATAAAAGCATTGAGAAAATTAAGCTAGGTTAACATTTACAATTTTTAAACAATCAAATATTTAAAATTTATTTTATGTTAAAAGGACGCTACGCAGCGTTTGATGCTCCGTCTTACAAACGTACCCAACATTTTTTTACGGTCACAATGATACATTTTACTGTGTAATTTCTAAAATTACAGTGATTTTACCTCTTATAAAATTTAAAGGTAAGATAATTATCTAGAGCATCTCGTTGATATTTGTATTAAGAAGCAAGTTGTGACCATTTTTAAAATTATCATAACTTACTTAAAAATGATAATATAGATGGGCGGTCTACTGGTATATAATAGCACCTTTTGTAGATACCATTTGATTCAAGATTATATTATAACACTAAGTGCCTACCAATTGACAGCAGAATTTCCAACTGGCCACTTGAGTGATAACTATTTTTTTACGTAAGTATACATTTTATTCGAAACTGAAAGTTTTCAGCTCTCCTCCCCCACAACCCACTCAAAGTACTAAGTGAGCTTACTAGTTAAGGTAGTGGTACTATTTCTGTTTATTATATGGCGGGCAATTTTTTTTTTTGGTGTCAGAAAGTAGCTTACCTACCTAATGAATTAAAAAAAGGAAAGTTGAAAGTTAGAAATAGCTTTTGCAATGGCAACAGGCATATACATACCAATAGGCAATAATATACATTTATTATACCCACTTATTGGCTACTGATAAATATTATATTGTGCATTATGTTTTCATAACAGTTAAGTTTTATACATGGGATGTCTCAGTAGTATAAAAGACAATTTTAGCTGGCCGAATCCCCTTCCCTCTCAAAACTTTTACTTAGTAAAATATTTAACAATGAATATAATTTGAATTGATTCAATATTCACATCAAACACAATATGGAAGATTATTCACTCCAAAGCCAATGGGAGGGGACCTAACCCCTTGTATATGCCCCTGAGTTCTAGTATATTTTTAAATCTACAAAAGAAAAATTGTATACTTGCTATGTGCAACCGGCATCTTATATTGTAAGCATATTATATTACATGGTATACTACAAAAAGGGACTAGGAGAGATTACTTACACTCAAAAGAAAAGTTTTGTAGAAAATTCACGCGTATGCGAAATTAAAATAAGGCATATATGACTATATGGGAGATAAAAAATACTGTTTAAGAGAAGTTGTATCACAAGATAAATATCAGAATGCTGAATGTTCCTACAGGTAAAAACTATTTGAGTGGCTAGCCACATTTGGCATAAGGGTGAAGTCTTACGAAATGTCCTGACCAGAAACCTAAATGCAATCAAGGGGAAGACCTCGCCAGCTGTAGTTATATAGAATGAGGAACGATACCTGCGATATCGTCATATCAACGAGTTAACGGAAATGGTTAACGAACAGGACCGAAATAGATGTCCTTGAGCAACAACGATTGATTTTTTTTTCACAATTTTAATTAAAAAATACAATTATCTACATGGACTTAAAAATTGAAACAATACGCATTATTGCAAGGTAATATATTATTAATATTTAATAATCATTAAATAACAGGCATTGTTTCTGTACCTATATATATATATGTGTATTAGTGTGTGTGTGTGTGTGTACAGCCAAGTCTATCGTACTCATGGTTCTAAAATTTGGTACTTAGGTAAGTAATTCTATGGTACCCGAGAATGTGCATTTCAAAGAGAAGCTCACAAAAAAACAATATTTTTTTGTTGGTATTTATAGTTGCCATTGGTTATATAAAATTAAAAAGTTGTTATATTAAATAGGTATTGTAGGTAAACAATTTTAGAGCTGTATTTTATATTTTATATTTGTACCACCTAAATTATTGAGTTAAAAATATGTGTAGCTTACATTTAACACTGGAGGATTTGAGTGGGGGGGGGGGGGGGGTGGGCGACGTGTAAAATTATGTAAAATTTTTTTTTCCTAATCTGTATAATTAATGTTCCTGACAAGTCAACTAACTTAGTGATGTGTGTATAAATGTATAATATTTTAATAATATTATTATTTATCGACTAAGAT